ACTGAGTACAGCGAAGCTAAAAAAAAAAACATACTCCAGTATGAAACGCAATTCAAACATACACATGTGAGCAAGTGATAGCAGGTTTTGAAGCACACTTGGGATCCTTGCATTCGATATTTGTTTCGGTCGTTTTCACAACAAAAAACGATTTGTCATCTTTCTCCACAAGATACTGACCGGATTTATGGTAGATTACGTTCTTATTGAAGACTTCTCCAATTTTCATCTGTTTCGGCACACTTCTCCATACGGTTTTCGGCATTTCAAACACATGAGATAACGAAAAAGTACGAAATCCATGTTTTTGCAAAGCTTTAACTTGACTTTGTGCTGACAAAATTCCGGTTTTTTTGAAATTCGCGTATCGGATCAGCTCGCTCTTTCCAGTCAAAATCGACTTGCAAAATTCCTTTTTCTCATCTGTAAAACATATCCAACTTTAGATGTTTTTACAGTCAACCCTACCCTCGATAAATTCCAACAGCTTATCCAAGCAAGTGCGTCCATTTAGTTTTCGTGGAATCGCAATTTTGATTCGTGAATTAAGGTTCTCAATTCGATTCGTAGATGCATAGTTTAGAAGCAGCCCAGCCATCAGACGAGATCGGAGAGAATGGGTTGAAAAGAGATCTTCTTTTCTATCGAGCAACCACTTCTTTAGAGCCGGCGCAAAATTACACTTGACAATCTCCGCTTCCATCGCTTCTGAACTCATTACATTGAAAATTCCATTTTCAACTTCATCTCCAATCTGTCTTCCGAAAATTTTGTTCAAATCTGACTGGCTTATATTCTTTTTACTTTGAATGAATGTCAAGTTGTTTCGACGATGTACTAGACACCTGAGAACTTGAGTGTCTTCCAAATATTTCATCTGAAAGAAACATGAGACTACACAAATTTAAAGTTTTCTATACCTTGCTGTAATATTTAAAAGATTCTTCGCCGTCTGTCATCAGTGATGGAATTGATTTTTTTCGCATAGGATCAACTTGCAGGAAGAAATCGTCAATTTCGCGAGCAAAACTCTTGTGATTTAGTGCATTTTTCGACGAGGAAATCATGAATCCTAAAAGAACATGGCGAATTTTTCCGCTGCAGCGCGATGTGAAGTCTCCTATATCTCCAGAGATTGTTGTCACAACACAATCTGACAAATCAAAAGTGCTATCAATCTGTAACTGTCCAGCCATATGCTTAATAATCCCACTATTTGCTGTCGGACTGTAACAAGATAAAAAATCATTGACTTCTTCTGAAGTCCAATCTTCGCATCCAGTTAAAAGCTTTCTATATTCCAGTACAGTTTGTTTTGTCGGTAGACTATTCATATAAAGATTCAGTGTGTCCGAATCGAGATAAATCGCTCCAAACTGGTTATCTAAAATGAAAAATTATATTTTCAAAAAAACGTTCCTGTTTACCACTAGAAAATAGACGGAAGCCATTTTCTGTTCCAAAAGATGCGAGTGATTCTGGTGTTGTCACGCTCACGCGGCCCCTCTTCGACTTCACACAATCCGGCTGATACTTCATCTGGTTTCTGATTTGGCGGGTACTGAAATTAAGGGCTCCTGATTTTAGATCTTCGAAAGCTCCTTTCACAGTTCTTCCTTTCAGGGACCGATGAATCAATTGACACTCTGCTTCTGAATATTTGAATTTTATATAAACGCTTTTATTAGAGCAAAGTTGTTCTTACCAGTTAGTCTGTTAGGTTTTGATGATTTCAGAACATCGTAGTCCATTCGACCATTTTGAGACACGTATACTACCAAAAAGAACTCTTCCTTCTCCGGATAAATCTCAAATTTTTTGAAAGCATCATCATTAGGATTGATGCAATTGTAATATCTGTAAGAGCATCCATCGTATTCGATCTTTCTGGGTCTCGGACGGATTTTTCTACCTTAAAAGAAAATAATAAAAATGAATTGAAAATCAGCTGATCCTACCATTCGTTGTCTTCCACCAAGACAGTCCATCACAAAGTTTATGATCTTCGTTTCGAAATTTTGCGAATTTCACTGACGGTTCCGAAAACACTGGCAAACGAAAATCGGTGAGATTTGACGATGTCACACTGAAACAGATAACTTGGTTTTAAAATTAAATTTTCTTTTTCAACTGACCAGTTTTCAATGATATCTTTCATCGTTTTAACTGAAAATTTGTTCGAATAGGGACCTGTTCTCCATATGCCATCCTCATCCAAATCAAGCGAAAATTCTTTTATTGGTTCTCCTTTGGCAGATATTTTCGTTTTTTCTGGTTCATTTTGGCCGTCACTCGACATTTTAATTTCAGAATCACTCTCGTCCATTTTGAGATTTTTGTAAAATCACAAAAACGTTCTGAAAAAAAGATGAAAAACGAAAAAATAGGACAATTGGTAGTTCAAAAATACGTCATCGATTACGTCATATGACGTCATCGATTACGTCATACGAAAAATGAGTCTAGGACTGAAAATGGTGACCAGAACTACTGTGATAGCCAAAAATTCATAATCTTCCACAAATTTCTGCAAAAAAAAATACGAAAAACAGTCGAAAATCGTTGAAAATCGAGAAAATAGGAGGAAAAATAGAAAAAATTGCCTTCGTAAATCGACAACGGCCCCTGGCCTAGAAAATTCCGGAAACTCTTCCATGAGAATTTCGAGCAATTTTTTGGGATTCAAACACAGAACTCACAGTAAAAGACACATTTTCGAGAAAAAAAAGCAAATTTCTTATATAAAAAATTGTTTTAAACACTGACAGATAAAGTACAGAAGTGAGCGATTGGAAACGACGATGGAATCAGCTGAAATCAAAATCCTGGCCTAAAAATAATTTTTTTCAGACAAAAATCCCTTAATTTCCGATTTATTTCTGATTTCGGAAGACAAATAATAGGTTTTTTTTTCATAGTTTTGCTGTCAGAATTCGGAATTCATGCCTTTTCATTGGTTTTTCCTTCATCTCTACAAAGTTTTGTAAACTACAGAAGTGAAAAAAAAACTAAATGAAATCTAACAGAAAAATTTCAGTGCCGAATTGAATTTTAAATTACGTTGTGTCCACTTTCAGATATAGTCGTGGGAAATCTTCCGGAAGTTGTTTTTTCTCAACCTCTTTCACTTTCTTCCTGCTTTAGAAACCACCGAATATGTACGGGTTGCGGTTGAGAAGGGAAACTGGGTGAATTGGTGTAGTGGTGCGCGTGGGTGCACGAAAAACTGAAGTCGCGAGTTCAATCTCGACCAGATCCGAACTTTTTGTTTTTGTGCAACTACCTAGATGTACCCCTTCAGACTGCGTACCCACTCAGTCAATGTACCCCTTGAGCATGATGTACCCTATTTCGATGTACCCCTGGAGAATGGACCGAAATTCTGTCCGAGTTTCTGAGATTTTGAAGTGCTGAAAATCTGAAATTCTCAGACTGTGAAGTTCCGAAATTCTCAGGTTCCGATATACTGAAATTCCAAAGTTCTGAAATTCAGGAATTCAGAAACTCCCTCAAAAAAAATTGTACCCCCGAATCACAAGCGTTGTACCCCTAAATGAAATGAGTTGTACCCCAGAATCATTGGTAGTTTGTACCCCCGAATCGTTGTACCCCCGAATTTTTGTACCCACGAATTTTTTACCCCCGAATCATCAATTTTGTACCCCTAAATCAGTTGTACCCCCTTGTACCCCCGAATCATTGTACCCCCCGAATTTTTTGCCTAATATTCTCCGTAAACTGAAAATAGTGTTTACCAGTACAAATTTATTGAAAATTAATAAAAATGACAAAAAATGAAGTAAAAAGAACATAAAAATAAAAAATTAACATTTTTGTCTCCTGGCTCCTTGGACTCGATATTTTCGTCGCATTTCTCCCTCTTTATATCCATTAGACGAAAGTCCAATCGAGAAGTTGCTCTTGGTTGTTTTTTTTTTCTGAAAAACTGAATATATTTTGAAAATTTTCGATAGTTTTACTTATTCACAGCGAAAATTTTTGTCAAAGCCTAGTACTTAGAAAACGAAGCTGCTTTTGCAAATTCGTATACATGATTTATTGAGAGAGCTGAATTTTGTGTTGGCACGTTTTTCATCATGTTTCGAAAGCTCCGAAGAACTGGAGTCATAGAAACAAGAGTAGAATGCTCTTTGCAAGTTCAGTCAAAACAATTTCGCAGGTGTTCTTTTATCGAATTATTTTCGAGCGTTTCAAACACAAAATTCGCTAACCTTTTCGTTTTTCTGTCGGTGCTGTTTCTTTCACTTGTCGTGTGGCCAGTGGAGACGGTGAAGGGGTTAGTTGTCACCGAATTCTGAGCTCCGCTCCTGAAAAATGAAGTCAGTGAGAAACTGAATGTCACGCATGTTTCTTACCTGTAGCTATCCACAGAAAACTTCTGGTTTTTAGCTTTAGGTAGACATGCGAGGCGTTGGAATCCATCGGTGGGCCTAAAATAATTTCTTCAGGAATTTATGTGTTGAAACTCGAGGAAAACGGCTAGAAGCGATGAAAATGAGTTCGCAAGTGAAAAATTTGTAAAAAAAACCTGTGAAATCGTAAAAAATCAAAGAAAATCGAACAAAAATAGGCAAAAATATCTGCAAATTCATCGAAAATCTGAGTGTAGATTTACGGTAAACAACGCGGGATGCGGTATATCGGAGCGTCGTTGTGTACTATTTCAGCGGAATTACCAAACTAAATGGGCAAAAAAAATCCGATTCTTGTGGAAATATAGAATATTGTGATTTAAAATAAGCAGACAGAGCATAAGGGCATTTTATGGTAACATAAAATTCGGATTTTGACAGGTTTTTTTGGAGTAAACGTCGCAACACAGCCTGCAGAAAATGTTGAACTTTTCGAAGACAAAATTCCCATCAAGTTTAATGGAATTCCAAGCCTAAAATCCAGCAGCTGTATATGTTTTCCGATCATCTGTCTTGGTTAACTACTTTTCCCCGATCACTATTTTTCGATAGTCAACAGTCATAAATACAATTCTTAGGGAACCAAAAATTTTATCCTGAGAATATCAAGAGAAGTGTTTCAAGCTATTATTTCTGCAAAAAGCATTTACATGTTCTGTAAATGCCATCAGGTTTCCGTGAAGACACATTATAGAATGATCCACCCCTTCCCCTTTAACTTTCAACTTTGAGCTAATTTATCTGGGTTCCTGTGAAAGATATCAAAAAGTTGTTAACTTACAGAATGTTTTTGATATTATAATAAACATTTTGTCAGTTGATCATTTTCTGATATCTTTTACAGGAAATGAGATATATGGGATCGAAGTTTACAGTTTGGTTTGCACTCGATTAGAATGTTGAGGGAATATGGAACCTATATGCGAGCACGGACTGGGCATATGCTTTCCCTGCTTACTCGACGCCCACCACCGCCCACCAGCTACCACCAGCCCATATAGAGGGCATAACGAACGCTATATGCGCGCATTCACAGTATGGGCCACAATGCGCCCATATAGTGTTCTGCGCGATCCACCTGTGTAGGAATCTAGGATCGGACATCGGGACATCCGACAGGTGGGCTCTATAATTGAGAGTGCTATCCAACTGAGTCCTCCTGTACGTCAGATGAGTACCTTAACAAGGTCTATGGTCCATCATGACTTTTTCCAGGGGGAATATTTCCCCATTCCCAAGGACCCCTATCTTTTCCGATCTGTCATTATAGGGTCCACCTGCCCCATGAACTCGGTCATTGATTTTCACTCTCTTTATTGCAGGGTTGCAACCGGCCGGCCCGGCCCGGCCGGAAGCCCCAGCCAGCCCGGCCGGAAGCCCCAGCCAGCCCGGCCGGTTCGGCCCGTTCGGCCGGTTCGGCCCGTTCGAATTTAAGAAAAAACAG